CGGACGTCAATTATACTACTAGAATTTGTAAAATTTACTTTATTGACAGTTACTACTTATTATATATTTATATTATGCTACATATTAGTTTTTAAAATAATGATAAATAATTTATTYTTAGAACAATAAAAATCACTTAAAATAAAAAACAAGTTTAAATTTTTAAATTTCTTAATTAGATTACTTATACTTATGTAAGTTTTAATGTGGAAAATTTTGTAATGTACCTAATTTTTTATTTTATACACCATGAATATTATGCCGATCTACATAATGCCATAATTTACATGTAGAGTTCCACATTTCTAAAACTTTATTTGAATTAATCTTATCGAATAACATTTTCTGCTAAATTGTTGTTTTGAATGTTTTGATTATTAGATTGGACAACTAAGTGCAAATGATTTATTGATGGAATAATACATTTACGATGTATTGAGAYATAATTTAATATGTAATTTCCATCAAGCACATTTCGTATATTATATTGGTAATTAATGCATTGTTGACAATTTGACACGATATTAGGAAATATCATGTCAAATTTCGTGTTTCATCTTATGAATTGAAGTAGTTTATACAATTTATGTATGCATAAATTAATCAATAGATGGATTTTCAATTCATAAGACATTTGGATATTGTATTACTAAAATAAATAWATAATGCATAATGTCCCAATTATTGTTGTGGTAAAAGTGGTTCAAGACTAATATCTAATCAAAAACATCCATTCAAAATCTTATAAGAAAATTTCCTGGCTGGATTGGGAACTCCYGGCAGACGCACGGATAACTGATAAGTTAGGTAATCACGGGAATAATCTCGTGATTTATCATAAAAACACTGGGGCGCAATGTTCATCATTATTCATTAACCATTTATTCGTAAGTTGTATCCCGGATTGGTTACGCAGCGTCGCAGCCCCCGAACGCAGGTACTTATACTCTCCGCCAGAAACCAGAAAGGCGAGAGATACTTAAACTCCAAATGGTCGGGTTTTTTTTTTGATGGAGTGAGGGGAGGGTGGTTCAGAGGTTTCGACTACAGTAACAATATTAATTGTACAAGTAGTATTTCACGTTGTCGCTATTATTATGATTGTATACAATAGTATTATATTATTATATGATTATTTTAGTAGTCGTACGACTGTGCGAGAGAAACACAAAACCAGAACCGAGCTAACGGCGGCAGTGCAATAGGCAATAGCAAGCCGACCAACCGGCGGCGGCAGCGAGCGACAGCCGACGAGCGTGGTGGCGTCGTCTTTCCCCTATATTGCGGCGCACAAAGGACCCCGCGCGCGTTGCCTACCCACCGACGCCGACGATAACCGTCACTCCCACCAAACACGGCGGCGGCGGAGGTCATTTGATACAGTGTGTGTGTGTGTGTGTTCGGTCCCCTCCTTCACCTCGCCACCGTCGTTCGTGTTCCAACAGCACACCGTCGACGCTGCCGCGACCGCACCACCACCACCACCACTGCACCGCCGTCACCGCACCACCACCGGATTTTGGGGCCCCGACTCGGCCGCGCGTTCGTGTCGGTTGCCGCCGCCGCCGTCGTTTGCCCACCAGTGTTCACGTCGTATCGAGCCGCTTATACCGCGGCGCAGCACAGATACACCGCATACACCTAACACACACGCGGGCGCGATAATAAACGTTCTTTTATAATAACAGGTATACATGTTATGATAATATTAATTTATCGTTACGAAATACGAAAATCGTAAAATAATTTAATATTTCATTACAATATATCATATTGTACATTTTTGTATTCTCGCACGAGCTTGTATATATTTTAACGTACCGTCTCTTGAATACCCCGCCACTAGTCGACTACTCGACTCGTGTCCACCAGCACACATTCAGACGGGGCCACACGGCGTTTTACTAGACGGTGACCAATATTAACTTGTTTTCCCGCACGGCATCTGCCTCCGTACTGCGGTAACAACGACGGTCAAAATATTATGTGAACTTGGCGCGCAACTGCATCAGAGGAGACAAATAGACAGACCAGGAGGAACCGTCCAATACCGATTTAAAACGACCGTGGTCGTTACACACATCACAGCAACAGCCGGAGTCTCAGTCGTACGAAAGTTTTGTCAACGTAACCGTTACGCAGACGATATATCATAACATGGACACAGCTACGTTTTTCGTCGAAGGCACTGCCAATCAATTCGAGCACGTACTCTCGCTGTACCCGCAAGCGTTGCGCATCAAAGCCGAGGCCAAGACGAAAAAGCCCGAAGACCTCATCAAGCTGGACAATTGGTGAGTGCTCCCCCCCCCTAAAAGGGTACATTTCATCAGGGTTACAATTTGATGTTTTTCTATTATGTGTTTTGTGTATTATATATTTACTACTGTATCACATAATTTATAATGTGGTTTTCCACGCGCGTGCGTAYGGTATAGTATTATTGTGATTTTGACGTGCGGTCGTTTCGCAATGCGCACATTCGGCGCGCTCTGTATAATGTGCGGCGGCGGTCGGTTAGGTTGGCAAGGCGGTCGGTCGGTCGTCGGTCGCCCCTCAGCCGCCGCCGCCGCCGCCGCATACGGCGTACCCAATCGAGGCCGTGATGACGTTAACGATTTCTTTGTGGAGAAAACGCGCACCGTTGCGTTATATGCGTACTTCGTACGACGCATAGAATGTAGAAAACATAATAATAATAATAATAATAATGTAATACAGATGTGTTCGACGATTCGATTATTGCTCAGCAATAAGTATTAACGATCATCTTTGGTACTCGTAAACATTTTTGTTGTACACCTCGTGTATGACAATTGATGCTATTCATCAACCCTACAGAGGATGTCTCGTTGCCAGTCCGGTCGTGTTTTGTGACTCGGCGCGGTGTGTAATATTCGTATATAAAAAACTTGAGATATGATAATGACTGCTGGTGTACAGGACGTTCGCCGTGACGACGGTCAGAAACATGTTTTCGGTTAAACACACATTTAGCGCATACTATTTATATACCTTGGCAGTAAAATATTATATTATATGATTTCTGTTCGAATCGATGTTTATAAATATTGTTAATACATTTACTCCATCTTCTCTGGGCGAATGTACGTACAAACAGTTATAACACTGAACATCAAAATTTGTAAAAATAAATGAAAATTATAATCTGTATTTAAACTGGAAACTATGCTGCGATAGACCACGCAATATAGACAAAGACAACTGCAGCTAATTTTAACCGMTGCATCAATTCCTAATGTGATTATTTATATTTATTTTAACTCGTATTCCTAATTTTTCTTTAATCCATAAGTTTGGTTTATAACTTTCCGTTTTCAAGTACAACTGATGTACTTAAATTAATAATATTCTATTATCAATGGAAAGTGATAAGAAATAAATGTATTTGTATTGATGTCAATATTGTAGTCAATTAACTTAATTCATTCATTGTTTTTGAGATAAGATTGTTTGTTGGTTGGTTAAATATTGGTAATAATAAGTACTACCTATATTATATCAGGGACCATTCAATTAATATAATGCAGAATAAAAACAATATTAATTATTTATTTTCATACATATATAGCCAATAGACTTTCAAATTTTAAATTGTTATTAATTTTATATAACCAACATCAGATAACAATCAATCTTATATAATATTAATTTAGTTGACTATTAATTTAATAATAGTGTGGTGTAAAAATTTAAATCTCTATGCATTAAGAAGACGCTACACGGACATTTGTTGTCTGTGTATCGCTTTCTTAATGGATAAATAGAGAATTATTTATAATACCATTAATTATAAATAATAACAATCAGTATATAAAATCAATGGTATCTAATACCAAAAGATAATTCTTTACATAAAAAAAAATAATTATCAATTATTAATTTAGTCACTTATTTCATTAATTTATAGATATTTAAACTGTAATTTTACTTATTTTACGATTGATTGTTTTTAACAATTTTTATTTAAGTCTTCCTCATATTTTTTTTAGGTATCAGAATGAATTACCTGGAAAAATCAAATCCAGGGGTAAAGATGCACATTTAAATCACGAAGAAATTTGCCAAATCATGAAATGGAAACAGACTGTAAACTTTTATTTTTCTCATGTCACATATTAATTGAATAATTGCTTAAAATAATTTTCTTTTTCAGAGAGGAAAAACATTCCCTCAATTGAATTACTTAATTAAAGTGAATACACCACGTGCTGTTATGGCCGAGACGAAGAAAGCTTTCAAAAAATTACCCAATTTAGGACTTGCTCTTACAGCATTAAGTAATTTGAAAGGTGTTGGAACCACAATGGCCTCTGGTATGTATAAATACTTTGAAAATATTAAATTATTTAAATGTAACTAATATGTATAATTTTAATATTTTATATTATTTTATTTTTTAGCTTTGTTAGCAGCTGCTGCTCCAGATAAAGCTCCTTTTATGGCTGACGAATGTCTAAAAGCAATTCCAGCTATTGAAGGAATTGATTATACTGCTAAAGAATATTTGAATTTTGTTGCCCATATTCAGAACACAGTGGAAAGACTTAATAGTGAATGTAAGCAGAAAGTCTTACCCAAATATTCAAATAATTTTTATAAAATAAACTACTTAACTTTGTTAAACTGTTATGTCATTATTTTGTTATAGGTAATGAAAATACATGGAATCCACATTCAGTAGAATTAGCATTGTGGACACATTATGTGGCAAATGAATTCAAACCTGAACTTTTAAATAGTGTTCCAGAAGCAATTAAGAAGCCAATTATTAGTGAACAAACAAATGCCGATGCTCATGTTAATGGCAATGTTAATCAAACAAAGGTTTATATTGTTTTGTTACTTTAGTATTCAATTATATTTATTTGTTTAATATATTTATTAAATTACAGTTGGATGAACCAACATCTGATGATAGCAATCCTGAGCCATTACCACCGTCCAATGGTCACCAATTAACAATTGAAGATGACTCTCGTGACAAGTCTGAAGATGATGTCACCAATGACTCTATAACGACATCAGAATCAGCTCAAACACCACTTGCTGAAGCTTTAACCGAAGACTCATCTAGTCTCCCTGCCCCCGACGAACCTCCTGTAAAAAAATTCAAAAATGATGGCCAGACTGTGGCTGCAGAAGCCAATGGCAACTAAATTGGTTAAATGGTTTTAATTAAGCTATATGGACCACCATAAGTTTATAATTTTAGTGACAAGTTAACATTGGAGAAAATATTGTTTGAAACAAAATAAATTGATAAAAAAAACTCCATATTTATCAGACTTAATAATGTAATTATAACTTAAAGTTATACAATTACAATTTTATTTACATATGAAATATTTCACCATTTTTAAATGGACTACAATTTAATTTATTTTAATTCATACATGAAAACTCGTAAATATATTTTTTTTATACTTAGATTTTATACAACAAAATAAATTAAGTCTGTAATATTCTAATTTGTTTTATTCAACTTAGTAATTTCATGATTGAAATATATGACTGTAAATACAATTATTTATAATTATAAATGTTTAAGATTTACGGGATAGAGGGATGTCTGAATATTATGAAATAATAGTAAAAGTGCACCTTAGGAAGTAATTTTTTTCTAAGAATTGTCATAATTCATTAAAATATTGATTTATAATGGGGGGGTCAAGGGAAACTTGCATTCAAGAACATAAGAAAAAAAATAAGTATATACATATATTTATAATGGACATATTATGTATATAAATATGTAGTATTAATGTATCGGATCTGCACCATTTTTATTGAAATAAATTAACAACAATGTTAATTTATGTACTTAAATAAGAAAACTGCCTTTTAGCATTTTTTTTATGTTTTATTTACTATACATTTTTTTTTTTTTAATGGTACAAACAATTATTTACATTCCGTCAAATTGAAACTATATTTTTTTTTTACTGTAGMCTGGGGAAAATCACTAATGATAATAATTGTATCTGTATGATTTTTTTAGTAACCATATGTAACATTTTTACTTTTAATGTAAAATCTTATAGTTTTTGGTATTTTTTTTTTGTTTTAAAAAAATGGTTCATTATTAATATATTAAATATTATTTATAACGCAGCATGATTATTTTGTGTGTATGTATGCATACATATGCATATATTCCAGTAAGTTTGTCTTAACATAAATAAACTATGTAATACATAAACATAATTTGCCTTTATGATTAGTAATTTTCATATTACCTGGATGTGTTAACCTAATTATAATCAATTGATTTATTATAATTGAACAGCAGCTGGTGTAGAAAAAATAAAGTTTATCTTTTATACAAACCTCTAAATATCAATAATTCTGTTGTACAGTAAGCTGGTATTGACTCATATTTTAATAACAACAAACAATAACTATTATAGTTAACAGATTGTTATTGGAAAAAGTTAAATGTATCTAACATATAAATAATAGTAGAATAAATTTCTAAAATAATATATAAATATATTTATTAATATATGCTCACTCCGCTATAAATCTGCTGTAATTCAATTTAAGAAGTTCATTACTGCAGTGATCTACTCACTGAACAGACCTATAAATGTATAATAGAGTTAGAGTGATTCCTACTTGCTCTTTATTTTGCTTTTTCTGTTGTACATTTTAATTTATTTTTACTACCTATATTAGACAAATGGAATATGGATAATTTTCATAATTTTGTTATTAATCAGGAATTGATTGATAGTCAGTGTTAACTAATGCGACAATATTTACGCGCCACATTTTTCCGTTTGCACAACATCATAATATGTAATCTGAAGAAATAGTCCGAGTTTCGGCGATGTGRAAATTTACCTCAGTTTTCGGTAGAAATAATTATTTTTATAATTTTAAGAAAATTCATAATTGAGTATAGTTATATGGTACCAATCACTTGGGGGCATAATTTGGAGTAAAATCTTGGGGTAGCAAGGAATGTCACATTTAATTTCTTAATTTTTTCGTAATATAAAAAAGTCTAATGGTACTTATTTTATGTTTTCATTATTTTTGTCATTTTCTTATTACAAAAATGTTCTTTGCTATTTAGTCGTGTTTGTTGTAGGAAGGCGGTAGGTAATGTAATTTAGTTTGTTTAGCCTCTTATTATGTATATTATATATTTTTGCAATACAATTGAATAAGATTATAGGTTCAGCCGTTTCTATTCTTGTCTATGCTTATGAGAAAATGTACATATAAGATTGGAATTTTTATTGTTCAGTGAAAAAAAATTTTTTTGTTTCTCACTTGGCCACATATTATCTGGCCTAACTACCTAAACTTTTGTCCCCTTTTTCTTGAAAACTGAAATTACGCCATTGCCCCACCCACTGTTAATCTACTACAGAGTACCTACTAAAAAAAATTGACTTTTTAAACGTTTTCTTATAGTCAATGACCGTAGAACGGTGTGAATTWAGTTCGTAGAAAAATACCATAAAATATTTTGAAAATGTCATCGTTTAGCGTTGTAAGTATAAATATTGATCCATACAATCATATGCATTTTAAACAACACCATTGTTTGATATTTTTTGTGATTTTAATTTTTCGTAAAAATGATCAACATATACATACACTTTGACAAATTTCGTCAAGATTTGAACTTTWAAGTTATAAAAATTTTAAAAATTATCTAAAGGTTAACTTTAAATTATAATAACGATTGATTGATTTTAGGTATTACAGTTCATACCTACCTATTTTAAACAATAAATAAATTTGTTGAAAAATAATGCATTAGCATATTGGCATTACTAAAAAAGTAATACCTACTTGAGTGGGAAGTCACAGTTGATTGACATCTTTAACTAAATTAAAACAATTATTTATATTTATGCCTATTAGAAAAGTTACCTAGCTTAAACTGGTTTAAACCGGGAATGATATAGTTCAAACGGTTTATGTCCAGTTCCCCGAATCCGGTTTTTTAATAAAAAAAACCAATTTTTAATAGTTTTTAAGAAAAGCCAAATTCGCCGACAACAAATGATATTGGTGAAATGCTACGGTGGCATTTCAATAAAACTATACTATTATATCATAAACTGTTAATTTATTTTATCGTGCGTAAAGACTAAAGGTACCTATTGGCTATCGCACCTTATGATTCCTGCTACCTGTAAGCTTATTGCTTATTTGATGGCGAGAGTATAAGATAGTTATCAATACTGACAATATATATAATTAATTAGTCCACTGTGATTTTCAAATAATGATTATAAATATTATATTCGCATATACCAAATAACGTTTTATTTTTATTTATAATTTTTATTACGATAACGACTATATTATGTAATATAATATATGTATGTGCTATATATTTATTATTCATTATAAATTGTATATTACATAGTATATTTAACATATAAATATGGTGACTGTAATATATTTCATATTTATATTTATATTTATATTTTATATTTTATATTTATATTTATATTTTATATTCGTCAAATTAGATGTTTTCAAATTGAGTGCCGGCGAACTGGGAATATACCCACCGTTCAAACATCCGGTGCTTTTTTATTCAAATAGGGCCTAGCGAATTTCTCACTACAATATTAATTAGTATTCTTTTAAATCTTTTTCCATTCAGACACTCAGAGTTCAGACCCAGTCTGTTATAGACGTCCATTTGGGTTTTCACTTATCAGAAAATGTTTTTGGTCGAGTGTTCAGAATATTGAGCAGTAAATTTGGGACGTTTCGTCATTCTAGTATTTATAGTTAGGTCGGAATATATTGTGTTTTATTGGAGACAAATCATAGAGCTTTGGTGACCTTTGATTGAGTATTTGAATTTGAATAAGTTTTCAGGCATAAAGTTTAAAAGCTTTAACTTGAGTTTAACTGAACTTAAAAAACGCGATATGTAACAGTGGCATCTTTAAAGTTAAGTGGCTACACTGGTGCTCAAACTAGATACTGGATTGTAGTGTCTTTGCTACGTGAAGTATTTTACGTCCAAGCCACCAGCTAGTCGTATTCAAAACGAACGTCATTCAATATTTGAAAAAAATAAATATGTTTACTTTATAGTGTAAATTATTAATATTATTTCTTTAGTTTGTTTTTCGTCTTACATGATGTACAATGTTTCGTTGTATTAACGTAATAAGACGTTTATAATGTTCATTGTGGAGGGATTTTTTTTTTTTGTTAATTGAGAAATGAAATTTGAAATTCTATAGTCGGTTAATCGGTTTAGTTTCAGTATAATATTTCGATACAATATTCAAGTAACATAATATCAATCTTCACTGTCTACAACAGATTAATTTATACTCGATAAATATGTTCCGTGTAAATTTTTTTTTTCTATTGATGTTTATCTATTGCGGTTTACTAACTGATSTGATTAAGAGTCAAACATTAGAGGTGGTTACTGACAACGAGCTCTTAGATTTATGCCGTTCTGAAAACCAAGTAGTTGCCTTATTTAGTATGTATTTGATTATTATTTATTAATTGATTTTCTAGTGATACTTATTGATTTTTTATGCATTTATACCGTAGCTTTAAAAGACTGTGACAAGTGTAAAAAGTATGAAGAAACTCTCACACAAATTAGAGAAGAACTTGTTGATTCATTAAATGCTTGGGTTGTAAAAGTGGAAGGTAGCAATTTAGTTCATATTTATAATCCTTCTAAAGAACCAACATTGGTTATGTTTCGACATGGTGTACCATTACTAGTTCCAGAGCCAGGTAGCTATAAACTATTTTTATATAATGTTTTATGAAATTAATAATTATGTTTATTTTTTTTTCATATTCCAGAGGCTATCAACGATGAATTGTTAATAGATATGTTATTGAACAACAGAGATCCTATTGTGAAAGAACTGAATGATAATAGTTTTGAACATCTTACTCAGGCATCAACAGGAGCTACAACAGGAGATTGGTTTATTAAATTGCAAGTATGATTAGTTAGAGGGCCGGCGCTAAATAATATTTATATGTAGRCAAAATCAAAATTATTTGCCCTCTCGTTTTGTAACTCCTTATTTACAATATGTGCTCTAGCTGTTGTTCTCCAACTTATTTATTTGGCACTTTTGAAAAAATAATATTGATATATAAATTGAAAAATATTCTACAAAATAGCTGTTTAAATTTTGTATCTTAAAATCATATTATATTATTAAGTATATTGTAACCAAACAAAGTTTGCAAAGTAAAAATACTATGTACCATAAATACCTTAAAAATGCCACCCTATGTCATTGTCTATGTCCCACGCCGGCCCTGATAAGTTTAAGTAYAAAAAAGTCAGATAATTTTTGATTTTTACACATTGACTGCTATGAAACTGTCTATAAACTAAAAAATACTCATTACCCTGATACTGTATGGAAGCACTAAGGCAATGTGTTAATACATTGGTAATTTGATGTATCAAATTTAAAGATAAAGGATATCCTACTTATTGACTCACCCAATTTTGTTTCTAACTTTCATTTTCTTTTTTAGTTATTCATCAGATAGTGTAGAATGTCAAAGATTACAAGCTCGATGGGAAACAGTTGGTGCTAAACTGAAAAATCGTGTYAATGTTGCTCGTGTGAACAGGTACATTGGGGGATCAACAACTGCTCGTCGATTTGCTGTTAGCCAATCACCTACCTTTATTTTGTRAGTTAACAAGTTTCATTCGTTTGAATGAAATTCACTCTTTCAAGGAATGAAATGGTTGAACTTTTATTTTATCATAGATTGCGTCGTGGTGTCATGTATACTTATACATCAACTGATTATACTATTGAATCATTCCTTAAATTTGTTGAAGAAGATTATAAATTCACAGTTAAAGGGCAAGTGCCTCAACCAAAATCAACATTGTAAGTTTTAATTTTAAATTTAATTCACTGCACATGAAATTTTAAGTACATAAAATATAATACTTATTTTCAGTGATGATTTTGTACACATGTGCTTTGATGTGCTCAGGGAAAATCCATTGGTGTGGAAATTAGGCTTGACTGTTTTGAGTGTTATATTGCTTTGTCTTACTGCTTTGAAGAAAACATCCAAGTCAAGTGAATATAAGTCAAAAAAAAAGTCTACTAAAAATTCCAGTAAAAAGAGCAAGTAATATATCATATTATATGCAATATGCATTTTAAATTTAACTTAAACATTTTCAATWWWTYTTTTATAWAATAAATACATGTATAGTTAATTTTTAAATTTCTGTGTTATTATTTGAATGTTTTGTGTTTGAAATATAAGTGCATAAAATAATACAATGTTTTTTTTATGTATACTGTTAATTTTATAATAATATAATATATAATCCTGCTATATCATTGTTAAACATATCTTATCCTATTTTTTTGTTTTATACAAGGGAAAGGGATAACCCATGTCTTGTAATTAAATATTTTTATATTATTTTCTTATTACATCTTATGATATAGGCTTTAGGCCAGGGGTTGAAAACCTGCGGTTCCGGAATGGCTCTTTTACGTGTAATGTGTGGCTCTTTAAAAAATGCATCAATATATCGATACCTGTAAAATATAAATTTTATTTAAAAAAAAAGAAAAATACTACATCTACGACTTCAAAAAAAAGTTCTTTGGTTCCTGAACTGAATAACCTGTGCGGCTCTCTGGACATCATGGTTTAGTAACTTAAAAAAAAAATAGCTCTTACGAGAAGGTTCTTGACCCCTACTCTAGGCTCTYACTATTAATACATCCAGTGCTAAAAAAAAACTTAAAATAACCCATGAGAAACCCATATTTGTCTCATAATCAACTCGCTCACCAGCAATTTATAACAAACATAAGTATTATATACCTACTATACTCATATTGCTTATTATTACTACTTAATATTATTATCTATTTATGGTTTTTAACTTTCATATTGAGCATCCAACCACCCCTAAATATTAAAAAAATTTAAAGTAACTGCTTCTTTCTCAAAGACTATATTTGTTTTGCCACTGAATACATTCATGACAACTGAAATAAAAAAAATTTAAAAAAAACTGTAAACATTGGTGTAGTCGAATAGTATATAAATTAATTAAAACATCTAAGCACTTTGCCATATATTTAATTACAATACAAAAGATATCCCCAAAGTTAAAAAAAGGTATAAGAATCTAAATTGTTCTAAATAAATTTACCAATTTAAAAAGAAATTTGTGAAGTTAATAAGTAATATACGAATATACCTACATTCTATCACTTCTATTTTAAATTAATTAATACTATTATAGAGGTATAGAGGGGGTATCAAACTAAAATCCTGTATATTTGGCACTCTTCGATTTGAAAAAGTCTTGTTAATTAATAAAGTAATAGTGATCTACATATAATAATTATTTGTAGTATTTTCATAACAAAAAAATGCCTTGCTTCTAATTTCCTTGYGAAGTACTTTAATTTATTGGAAATACCTACAACAGATTATGCATAATATTTTCAGTATATGTATGAGTAAATATTAAATTTGTTATTATTAAAAGTTATAACTAGTAATTCTTGATTAAATTTAAAAGGCAGGTATCTACATAACGGTGTTTTATTTAAAAGTTATCTAAACACTTGTCGGTTACAGAGCTTAAAGGTCTATTCACACTACGACGGAACGGTGACGGGACGGACCCGGGTCGGAATTTTATCSGTTGGCGTCAACTGTTCACACTTAACGGAACGGATTTTATAACCACTGTATTACACTGTTTATTCTATAATTCAATTATACATATATATTATATATATTCCAGGGCTTACAYAACGGGGATTAGGGGCAAGAGCCCCTGAATTTTTTTCGGGGTCAATTATCATAACCATTATGTAATATAAAATGACAAAATGTATAAATATGAATGTCATCAGAACTAAGAAGCTTTTATAGATTGATTTTATTGATTATCGTATGAAAATATGGAATGATGTGAAAAAGTGCAGTTCTAACTTATAGTGTTACTTTTTTTGGTAAAATAAATGAACATTACTATATAAATAAATACAATAAATATTTTCGAGGACAATATTAATCAAAAAAAAAATATTAAACAATTTTTATAGTATAGTTTGATTAGTATACAAAAAATTTAATTAATACAATATTCAGCAAACTTATATTTTTTAATGTAAAAATTATTATTTATTAGATATTTGGCCACTGGAGACTCCCTAAAAACCATTTCGTTTAGTTATCGTCTGGGTCATTCAACTGTTTATACGATTGTTATCGATACATGTAGAGCCATTATAAAGAAGTTGATGCTTGAAGTTATGCCAGTACCCACAGAAAACAAGTGGAGGGAAATTGCTGAAGATTTCTGGGCACATTGGAATTTTCCGAATTGTATTGGAGCCTTGGATGGCAAACATATAGTTATACAAGCCCCACCCAATAGCGGATCATTATATTTTAACTATAAGAAAACCTTTTCCATTGTGCTCTTGGCTCTCGTTGATGCCCACTATAATTTTATTGCTATAGATGTAGGTGCGTATGGCAAAAATAGCGATGGTGGAATACTTATAAACTCAAAGTTAGGTAAAATGCTTGATACAAACAATATGAATGTACCATCCAGCTCTACACTTCCAGGAACATCATATACTGCGCCATTTGTAATATTAGGCGATGAAGCATTTCCTCTTAAAAGCTACTTACTCCGACCCTATCCCGGAAAACAATTGGATTGTGAAAAAAAGAGGATTTATAATTATCGACATTGCCGCACGAGAAGAGTTGTT